AGCAAGCCACTCCCATCCAGTCACATGGGTGGCAAGCCACTCCCACAAAGGAGGCCACACCCACAGAGTAGGTTCCAACAATTTTTGAAACCCATTACTGGTCGAGGATTACCTCCAGTTAAAGAAATCATGGACTGTAATATCTGAACTCAGTTCTGTACAATGTAGACTCTATGCAACAGCTTATGGCAAATACAGTATGCTGGATACCCATTGTATTTTGACTATATTAAAATGCACATGAAAAAGCCAGAGGAGTTTCTTCTCTGTACCTGGTTTTACACATGTCACCCCTGGCCCAACACTCTCTACTATTCCGGCTCCTTCATGGCCAGGAATGACCGGAAACTCTACTTTGGGGAAAGAACCTTCCAGAACATGGTCATCTGTCCCACATATTCCAGTGGCTATTATCTATAGTAGAGAACAAAGAGAAATAAAGAACAAAGAGTTATGTCCAACCATCGTGGGCATTTACTAGGGGCTTCCAATTGCCTATGCATAATAATCTCGTATGAATATGGACAAGCCAATGGATTCTCAACAGTGGAGGAAAATGCAATGTAAAAATGCTAATTACTCTGATGCCACAGACCATGGGGCAGAATGCTGTTTATTTTTACCAGTTGAATGCATGCTATTCACTCCACTCATCCATCTTCACCATTCTCCTAAAGGCAGAAAAAAGATGAATAACATTTTGGCAGTGGTTTGCTCTCCAAGCTTGTTTTAATTTAGTTTCTGGATGTTTTGTTACCAGACTGGGTAACATCATCAGCAGGATTGTCTAGTCCTATTCTCCCTAGTTTAGAATTGTCTTGTGTGCCAGCATGGTCATTTGATTGGTTGTTCATTTGGAGCCATATTTTAATTCTGAGCTCCAAATGAACAACCAACCAAATGACCACACTGGCACACAAGACACTTATAAGCTAAGGAGAATAGGACAAGATAATTCTACTGATGATGTTACCTAGTCTGGTAACAAAACATTCAGAAACTAAACTGAAACAAGCTTGAAGAGCAAACCACTGCCAAAATCTAAAACCAGAGCTACAAGTATTTTCTATTACTTCAAAATGAATAATATTTATTGTATGTCTTGGCTTCTAAGTATAATTCTTCATAAGTGTGCAGTTATTTTGTAAACAGGGCAAAATATTTTTCAGCAGTGTCTTAAGTAAGTCATGTTGCATGTAAGCCGTGAAAACCTTGTTTGCCTATCGCAATTTCTGTGCAAGATAGAAATTGTCAATTCCAATTTGTCTTTCCCTGATATCAAAGCAGTGCTCATCAATGTCATCAGCGACTTGATAGCTCTTCTCGTGCCATTTTGGATTTCTGATTCAAACTGTCACATTGGAAGAGGTACACGTGCAAAATTTTCTTATGTTTGTTAAAATCCTCCTCCTTAATTGGATCAAAGTGTTCCGATTCACATTTCTTCACACTATCCTGCACAATTTATCTTTTGTGCGTGCCTTAATTTATCTTTCCTTCTAACTGCACTGGAAAAGGCTGCTCTAATTTATCAGCAGTCTTCTTTATACAGCAGTTATGTAAACTATAACATTTAGTACGGAATTTCATATGGAGTATGAAAGATAAATATTCCATAATTTTTATGGCAAATGAATCACTGAAGTAAGATAATTGCAAAATGATGCCACGTAGTTTCTTGGACTAGGAAGCACTCATGCCTCAATTGCATGATCATTTGGGAAAATGGGATGGAAGGTTATGCCAAAACTAATAGCAGCAAACTCAAACTCAGAAGGAGTCTTCACATCCCTGTCCACCCCACTAATTTTATTCAGATCTATGGAGCAGACCTGAGCACTGTGTTGGATTGGAAGGTGAAAGGTGCTTTGAAAACATGGGAGCCCACATATAGAATCTATTTACAACTCTTTAAAATAGCTGTGTCATTTCTTGGGATCAGAAAAGACCCACAATTTTCAAAACCTCTGGGATCCATTTTGCACCTTTAAGCCTGTTCTTATCCAGTATGATATAGTGGTTGATTTGGTGGTCTAGGAATTGGGAAATCCTAGCTTTATTTTATCCTCAGACCAGTGGTGAAAATCAAATTTCTTTACTACCGGTTCTGTGGCCCTGGCTTGGTGGGCGTGGAAGGATACTGCAAAATCTCCATTCCTCCCCACTCTGGGGCCAGCCAGAGGTGGTAATTGCCGATTCTCTGAACTACTCAAAATTTCTGCTACCGATTCTGCAGAACCTGTCAGCACCTGCTGAATTTCACCTCCCCGCCTCAGACCCAGAAGCTCATTGAGTAACTAAGCCAGTCACAGTTTCTCTCTCTCTCTTTGCTCACACTAATTCATAGAGTTCTTGTTTTGGGAACAAGTAGGAAGTAGTATTGGGTACACTGTTATGACTCCCAAATAAAAGTTGGAATATAAATCTAATACTGAAAAATGAGTGTAAGAGGTCACAAATGGGGTGCCAGAAAAATTGCACGTAAACTAGAGATTACAAATGACAATTCAATGAAAGCAAGGCTGCATTCACAGGACACATTTAGTAAACCCAAACAGACCACACTGTGGTCTGCGAATGAAACATAATTCCCACTTACTTTTCTCTTAGCCTTTCAAGGGTTGCCAATGTACAAGTATTTATTTAGCAAACTGCTTTGCAAATGTTTGAAAAACAGATTAATGAAAGTGACAAGTTGAAGCTTTCCTTCAAGAACAAACACAGTGCTTTCCAAAATAGAGGACCGTGGAACATTACTCATAAAAATGAAACTACCTTGACACGAACTTCATGAGACCTTGGTGGAGCCACTTCTACCTCTTCAATAGAAAGTGGTTTGCCGACTTCCCAAGCCACAGCTGCTCTACATTTGATAACCTAGGAAAGTCAAACCAAAAACAAATATGTTTAGCATCGTCGTATGCAAAGCACGAAGCAGATGAAACCAAGAGAAGCCTAAAACCCTTCTCAATGTAGCATCTCATAGTGAGGGTCATAGAGAAAACCTGTTATGCTGTTCCAGTAGGAGTAATCAGCTCCTTTGAGATATAGCACCAGAGGCCTCCACAGGAGGCTCAAATGAGAAACCTAATGTCCCATAGTTGCACCACAAGCTCTACTCCCTTTGGACATGCATCAAGAGGATGTACATGTGTATAAAAGGAGCAGAACTTGCATTGAAAGGATGTAATGCTGCTCTAGTCGTTTCAATGAAAGCCTCCATCCTGTGGACACTTCCATATAACACATTTTTTTGCAATAAAGGAGCACAATAGGCCACATGTGAAGAGGGGGATTTTTTTGCCATTTGGGAAAAATGGAAATTAATCCACCATGTTATCTACTGTACATCTGAGAGTGATAATCTTTCTCATCCCTTTCTCATCCTCATCTCAGCCCCTCTGACTAGAGGGGCTGAAAACTGTTGGTGCTTTTCTACTTTTTGAGACAACCGTAAGAGCAAGCTGGAAACAAACTGGGCATACATGTTAAGTGTGTGTGTGTGTGTGTGTGTGTCCGTCCCCGCCCCCTCCTAACAGACTCCCTCTCCCATCAGAAATTCTATCGTGTCTGCAGCATAACATGAATTCACTTTCCCAAAATGCTAATTCTGGCTTCAAGCCACCTAAAAAAATGTCAATTTTTAATTTACTTTGAAACTTGGACAAAGTAGTAAATGAAATCTACAACAGCTCTACAACTGAGCTATGACCCCAAGTCTAGTGGTGCAACAGGGTGCCCTTTCCTCTTTGGGCAATTATATATTAACAGTGTTATCTTAACAAATCACTTGGTTTTTAACCTGAGGTTTTTAACCCCCCCCCAGTGCAATCAGTGACTTATAATAGTCTAATACATTTTCCAGAAATCATATACACACTAGATAATGTACTATAGAGTGCTGTATTGAACTATTATATGTTCTAAGTAAGGGATGAATGCAGCCATGTATGCACTTAGAACTTCCTGCAACTTAAATCCCTAGTTATATATGCTTCAGATGTCAATGTAGCTGCAATAGCATGAAAATTAGATTGCAATTGTAACCATTTTTGGTGGTAGAACACCTTCAAGGCAATCTTGATTCTTGGTGACTGCCTAGACAGCTCCCTGAGGTTTTCTTGGCAAGATTTCCAAAATGGTTTGCCACTGCCTGCTTTCGAGGGCTAGGAGAGAGTGACTGGCTCAAAGTCACCCAGTTGGCTTTTGTGTTGTAGGAAGTTAGGATCCACCCCTCTCCTAAAAAAATGAAATATCCTAGGAAACTCACAATTTCCCAGTTTCTTGCCTGACTCCTTAACTCCTACCTCAATCTGGTCTCTCTATTTAAACATATTTAAATAGAAATTGATCGCACTGAACATACTGTTTGGATTTATAGTGAACAACGAAGAAGTCAACGCATTATAGTCTAGCATATTTCAAGAACGCCGCCCATCTGAGTTGCGTTAGGCTTACTAAATGAAGCATAGTGCAATAACTACAGCTACAGTCTTGCAAGCAAAGCCATTAAGATATATTTACTTAGGATGTCTCAGTTTAAGGGCAAACCGTGATCCAATAAGCAAGACAAATTAATTGCTCATTGTCTATGCGTTGGGCCAACTGGGGGAGGTTGTAGTCCAGTGTAGTTCATTATATATTTGAATACAATTAAACACAAATTGGATTTCTAGCTATATAACTCTTGCACATTGTTCCATTCAATCTTACTGTTGCCATTTATTCACAGAAAAGCATGCAAGAAGGTACGCCGTCTTAAACTATGCATTAAGCCCTGGTTTTGCTTAACTGGTTTACTGTATGTAAACTATACGTTCTTCTATTAGTTTTACGCAGAAGAGGGAAGCCCCAGCAATCATTTACATATCCTAACAGGGGGACTCGCACCAAACATTAACCACAAATTAGCAGACGCATTTCCCGTTTAAATAAGTTTACAGCTTAGATTAGTTTACTTCTTCCCTAAGAAGAATAAGCCGTTTCTTACTTTCCCAGAAGTGTCCATGTCTGCAAACTACCTATTGCAACGAAGATCTTTCTACTCCGCTTTCGGAGAACCCTGGAAAATTGAGGGGAGGCAGAAAATAGAAGCGACTTCAATAAACCAATATCGCCAACAATATTGGCTCCCAGCATCGACATCCCTTTTAGGGTCAAAGAGCGGTCGAAAGGCAACTTTTCTTTCAATTGAACTCTTCGCTTGCCGTAGGCGCGCCGCGGAGGATTCTGGGGAATGCAGTCAAATCTGCCTACAATATTGCCTATGGAAGCGCTAGCTAGCCTATTCTCTCAAGGAGGCATCCACATGTGATAATATGCTGTAACCGTCACAAGAATACTCTTCACCTGGCAGTTTGAATAAAGGGATTGTGTAAATTCGTTTCCCATATATACACTGACTTTTTTCGTATGCAAAGGACATTATTAGATTTACCAGACGAAGGGGAAGAAGATTACAACTCTGAAATACTGTGCGTGCAATAGGACAATGATCCTCCCCCCCCCTTTTTTTTTTGTTATAGGTGATTTGGAGAGAAGCAGAAGCACTTTCGTCCTTAAAAGACTTTGAAAATAGCTTTTGATGTTGGACTGGGACCAGAGAAACCAGCAACCAAAGTTCTCTGGGAGATTTGGGTCTCTTTCTCAACCCAATTTGTACTTGCTGTGGGGGGAAATGGAAGGAGGGACTTTTGTGTGTGCCACTGTTCTTGGTGCTGCTGGAGAAAAAGCAGTTAAACTAGGAGGTAATAACAGGATGATAGTTTCCCTTGAAAAATGGGGGACTATCTTCAATTCTTCAGTAATTTCTAATCCATCTGGCAGCTGGTTACTACTATTGTAGGAAGTTATCACCCAGCCCTCTCCCAGAAAAATGAAATATCCTAGGAAATATTGAAAAGGCAGAGTATTTCTCTGGATGTGAAAAGAAAGAAACATGTTTTAAAAGACAGAATAGCTGCCTGCAGCTTCCTGCCCATTCCCACTTTGTCAATGGACCATTAAGAAGGCCAAGCTAGTCCCTTTACATGATAAAGACTTCTCCACTTCATCTCCAGGGGATGGGATTAAGACATAATATTGGCCCTTTACCCAACTCGCCACATGCCATCTGAGAACTCAACCAAACCTGGATTCAAAAC